GCAAGGAGACCCGACTGACTGAGTGCTAGGATGCTCTGGGAGAAAGTGAAAGCGAAGACAGAAAGGTGATAATAGACTAATTAATTACTGGCCGGCAGGGCTTAATTTGCCCGGGCCGGACAGTAATGGAAGGAAAAATGGAAACAAAAAGGACAGGCCGGTGAAACAGGTCAGCAAGAAAAGATTGCAAGTGAAGCACAGCGGTCCGGGAGATACCGGCTGTCTGCATCCCTGGCGATTGCAGAGAGAGAGGCCGACATGGCAAAGCGCCGGCCCCAAATCAAAGTGCTCATCCCAGTCAGGGAGGCCAGCTGGGGAAAAGTCCAGGGAGTTCAGGGTGGTGCGCAGAGAAAACCTGGAGTGGAGTTGAACGGGAATGGAGAAGCAGGACTGCAGGGCACAGTGAAATCCTTGAAAGGAGTGATTGATGTGGAACAGGGAAGCAGGGCTGCACGGGGAGAGCCCGGGGCTCCTGGATGACAGGTGCTGCCTCCTGGATGAGGACAGAAGGGAGGCCAGCCGAGGAAAAGCCCAGGAAATTCAGGGTGGAGGTCTGGGATCACCGTGCAGGCAGGAACTGGGACAGGGGGCTCATTGGCAAGAGATGAGTGGTTAGCGTCCACCCTGGAGATCTCATCCCCGGCGAGCCAGCCCACCCATGGATTTGGGGAGCCTCGGCTGCAGAGCCGAATCCTGTGCCGAGGTCCCAGGGAAAAAAAGGAGGACGCTCAGATATCTCGGATGCTTGGAACAAAATCCTGAATCTCACGAGCCCCCCCAAAGGGAGAAGGGGAATTTGACTTCGGAGCGGAATCCTGGTGTTGGGATCCAGGGTGAGACCCAGAGGGGCTGCCGAGGCATCTGTCCGGGGAACCGGAGAACAGGAGTCAGACGGGACATGGCAAAAAATCAAAACGGGAGGGAGAAAAAAGTGCAGATTTGAAAACTAGAAGGGGGTGAAAAGGACAACGAAGGAGCACCATGGGAGCTTTAAATAAAGAATTTGAGTAATTAGTAGGGAATGAAATCATTGATAATTAACCGGAATTCGGTTTATGCAGCACGCCCTGGAAAAGCTCTCGTGAGAATGTGACGGTTTCCCAGGGCAACTGCTAGCCGAGAGATGCCATACGGGCACGATCATGACACTAAGTAAAGGAAAATAATGACTGACCACCGTGACTATGTCTTTTATTTGTATGTTCTTTATTTGACACTTGTTATTGTAAACCTTGTGGTTTGTTTTACACTTAATAGATTTTTAGGCAACATTCATCCAGTGACACTGTAGTGAGGCAGTGCTGATGTGAAATCTGTACCTTGCCTTTCCACCTGAAGAAGAACAGCACAACTAGCAGGGCTAGGAATGCTGCACAATAACTCACGAACCAGCTTTCTGGTAATAGGGAGAACTATAGTCACAGTCTTTGAATGCTCCTTTTTCTGAAGTAGGAAACCCAGAAAGACATGCGTTGCCTTCAGACTGCCAGTTTCCGAAATTGACCGACGCATCATCAAATACCAATGCTCTTTGGAGTTCTGCGATCGGAATACATTGCGACATCATAATATTCCATGTTAAATTGCCAAACACTTTCATTTCTTATGCACACACATCCCCCTGCCACCCCAGGTCAACCAACTGGGCTCACCACTCACGATCCTCATGTTTCCAATAGTGGGAAGTGTTGGCGTGAGGCAGCGGCGGTGCTTGATCCTATCTGGATCACCTTTATTGGATTGTATTCTACCCCTCCCCCAGCCCAGTGATCCACCCATTTCCGCACAGTGCCCACAGCCGCCGGCATCCACTGGCACACAGGTACTGTAGGTGTGTTGCATGTTCCAGGAGTCACGGCTGCACAGAAACTTGTGCCTATCCTGGTCAGCCTTCCAGCCCAGCACCCCTAGTGAGGAGGAGTGCGGTGTGATGTCCATGTTGTCTGGTACAGCCCTAGCCTCGCACGTTACTGCAGACCACTGTGTCCCAGTGGTCCACGACTTCTGCCTTGTCCCGCCGGGGTATAAGTTAATTCTCCAATCCAATGGCTGGGGTGAGTATGAAGGCTGGGTTGCTCTCGGTTGTGCCTATTGTGTGAAGCGGTCCTGCGTTTGTGGGGGTCCTGGCTGCAGCCGGTCAGAGGCCCAGCCTGTCACGACCGCCAGCCAGCAGAGACCAACTCCTAAGCGATCTAATCAGCACCAGCAGCAGGTGATTATTAACGAGCGCCGCCACACGCGTTTACCCACCTGCAAACACTCGACTGTGCAGTACGCCGTGCTATTTATGCCATCCTGACCTGCTTCCCGCTGCTCGGTATTGAGTCTACTCCTTGAGAGCTCTACCTGGTGTTTTCCCCGTACCTCGTTTATTCTGCATTCTGGACTCCCCTTCTGCCTTTTCGACTTCGGACCTCGCCTCTCGTCTCGGACTGTTTGCCTCCTGTGTTCTCTCCGGATTACGACTTACCTGTACCCCTTTTGACCACGACCTTGCCTCTTGCTTCGGATTGTTCGCTTCTATCGCTCTTCCTGGTTTCTGATGCACCCTTTTCCTTTGGACCACGAACTCGCCTATCGTATTGGATTATTCGCCTGCCTTGTCTGCACAGGATCCTCGTATTTATCCACCAGGGATTCCTAACACAGCCAACTCATCAATGTGTGGATGCAAGAGGTCAACCTGTAATCCAGACGAGCGCCCTCTACTGCCCATCCAGGAGCCAGCAGGCGGGAGCTTTTCAAATGATTTTCCTTTCCCGGCTCCAAAAGCACAGGTGATAATAATAATAATTGCTTACACTTATATAACGCTTTTCTGGACACTCCACTCAGAGCTCTTTACAGGTAATGGGGTCTCCCCTCCACCCCACCTAGATGATGCGACAGCAGCCATAGTGCACCAGAACGCTCCCCACAGACCAGCTCTCAGTGGGGAGGAGAGCAGTGATGAAGCCAGTTCATAGAAGGGGATTATAAGGAGGCCATGATTGGTAAGGGCCAATGGGAAATTTGGCCAGGATGCCGGGGTTACACCCCTACTCTTTTCGAGAAACACCCTGGGATTTTTAATGACCACAGAGAGTCAGGACCTCGTTTTTTTACGTCTCATCCGAAGGACGGCGCCTGTTTACAGTATAGTGTCCCCATCACTATACTGGGGCATCAGGACCCACACATACCACAGGGTGAGCACCCCCTGCTGGGCCCACTTACACCTCTTCCAGCAGCAACCTTAGTTTTTCCCAGGAGTCTCCCATCCAGGTACTGACCAGGCTCACACCTGCTGAGCTTCAGTGGGGCTGCCAGTTGTGAGTTGCAGGCATATGATTTTCCTTTCCCGGCTCCGTGAGCACAGGTGATGGTGTATTTAACAGCGCAGAGGACTTGAGAGCTTCATATTGACGGGAAATGAATCCATCGACTCACCACTGCTGCTCTTGGCTGATACACAGCGAAGGTCCATTCCACTGCCATTATAAATGCTTTTTTTTAATTAGAAATTGGGAAGTTTTTCTCAAGGTCACATAAAAGCCAGAAAAAATGAAGACAACTTTGATCCACTATTCTTTGTTAGAGAGAAGACAGGGTAAGGAATAGGATGGTTTTTCCTATTCTCCAGGGATGATGTTTTTGCGCTACGAAGTTGTGGTTGTAAGAAGCATGTGGGCTGCCTGTTTTGTGATATCAAAGATGTTCTGATAAATCGGTGCCTTAAAACGGCTACAAAAGTCACTTCCACTGTATTCCACGTGAGTTTTAATGAATCGCTTCTAAGAACCAGGGCCATCAAATAAATATGATAGTGGCAAGCTTTAAAGAAGACATGTTCCTGGAAATAACAATTATTCCCTTTAATCATTTTTTCAGTGCAATCTTGGCTAATAGGTTTGGTTCAAAAACATCTGTCAGTGTCTCAGATCCACAGTTCAGCAATGATCAAAATCAGTTAGAATTCTGTCGGCTTAGTGTAATGGAATCTGTTACTGTATTAAAGGAGTTAAAGGTCAGGGGAACTGAAATTCTCTTGGACCTCTTATTGATGAAGTGTACCATCAAGGCTCAGTGGGAGCTGGTATGTATTAATAGCATTGCATAGCACTGCAAAATGTTCCAGCTGAAGTAATAGCAAGCACAGTATTCAGGAGGATGAGATTCATTTTCGAAAGTCTCGGCCTCTGCCCCCTCTGTACCTGGTCTCTGCCTCTGTGTTGCAACAGCGGGTGATCACGCTACAATGCCCCCCCCAGTCTTGCGGGGATCTGCGGCCGCGAGGTAGCCTGAGCCTCATCTCGGGTGACAATCGCCCCTGGGCCGCCTGCCAGCCTTTCGAGCCTTGTCAGCCCACAACTGACTCACCGGGGAGAAAATCTGTTTGGAATAACAGCAGTTAACCTCTTCTGAGAGAACAAGCAATTACCCCATTAAACAGATCTGCGCTTACAGTCATTTCCTTTCCAAGCCTATTCCATGACTTTTCTGCAAAGGAGTCAGTGGAGGGAGGGGGCAGGGAACATCGTGGGGCGTGTCCTGTAGGGATGATGGGAGGAGGAGCAGGGTCAGGCCTGTCCAAAGAGGGCTGCAGAAAAACAGGTTCTTGGACTTCAGGTTTCGGTTTTTAAAATTTAACCTGTAGGTCGTGCAAGGACACCAATGTTTAAAATTTGGTCTCCCGGGTGATGCCGGATCTGGCTTATGATAAAAGAGAAAGGGCCAATGGCCCCTGTAATGGTGTGGGGACTTGTGACTGCTTGTGCACCAATGGAGGGTCGATACCTCTGGTGAAGGAAGAGAGCCGCCCTGTCGTCACGGAGTTGCATTCTCTGAGCCCGGAAGGATTAGGGAAAATTGCGAGAATCGACAGAAGAGGAGAGGGCTTGACGAGAGATGAAACTGACGTCCACGGCCCTTCAGCTGGTGCTGTGGTGCTGAAACGAACACAGGGAGAGATCGTGGGAGAATGTAATGTAGGGTTTCTAATGAAGACCCAGGTGGTACTGATAGACATTCTCACGCTGAAGTGGTTGGAGAGAGGGCAGCTAGAAGGCCCTCTAGTGGTGTATCGTGAGAAATGTCACACCCCTTTCATCAAACTTTTATCAATCAATAGGCTGATCAGACCATTAAGATGGACTGATAGCATTGACACACCTGGGGCATTTGGACTTTTTAGTGTTTGTTTCAAATCAAATGAAAACACAGGCAAAAAGAGAGGATATTAGGATTTTTTGTTTTATTTAAAAGGTAAAATTAGTAACACATCAACCTAACAGAACCTTTAGGATCTTCTCAATGAATTGCCAGCTCTTTCTAGCTGGCTAAATGTTCTCTTTGTCCTTGAACGAGGTGCTGAAGGATTTCAAGAGTGTGGCAAAGGGCTGTGCAATAATCTTGTCGAAGCCTTTAATAATTCAGTATTTCTACTGCAAAATGGTGTTATTTTAGTGGATGAGGTAGCTGTTATATGGAATTATGAATAGCGGAATGGATCCTTGGTATTGGCCTTGTCTGTTCTGCCCCAGTTACAGACCCTGACTCAAAACTGGCTGAAGTGGAGGCTCGCCTCTCCATCAAGGGGAGCATAGGGCGCAGTTCAGGGTGCCCAACATGGGGTTGTGAGTCTTCATGTGGCATTGTATCCTTGTCTGGGGCTGCTACAGATCTTGCTCATCTAAGGCCACATACTGTACCTCTAACGTGGTTAGTAGTCAGCTCCCTGGAGATGTAGTATTTGTTAAATGTTTGTTTTTTTCTTTCCCTTTTGCAACGACGTTTCTTTGCACAAAGAACACTAATGCAGTCATTGTGTGTGCACTCTATTTTTTGTGTGGTCTATTTTTTCTGTGACTATCTCAGACGCGCCAAACAGTGATGGGCTCACAAAGCAACACCCTTAAAAAATAAGCACGGCTGAAAGCTGTTTCTTAGCAACAACAGCACTTTATATATATATAAATGTTTGCTGAAAAGGAGCTCCTTCATGCTTTCAATCATATTTACGTTCAGCTAGCACTGGATCTGTGACTAGAGACCTAAAGATTCAAATGCAAGACCAGCCAGATGACTTGTGTGTCACGTGGGTTCTGTGCTGACGATCTGCATGAGAACCAGAGACAATTCAAAAAACGGTCCTGTCAAAGTGCATGGTGCTGTTCCTCGAACCCAGGTTAGCCGTCAAACACCAGCAACAAGAACTAGTTTATCAGGGAAGGGGGGGTTGTGTTTTCACACAGTTTTGCCTACGGTTCTGCGACAAGGCTCGGCATCCAGTTCAAGTGGAACTAATTTAAGGAAATTAAAGGGCTTCCATTTCACATTAAAAATGCCATTTGTTAGTTAGACGCACTTTATGAAAGCAGTAAGAACAGTGCCCATAGGCATTTACCAGTAGGGTTCAATGTGTCTTTTTGTGAGAGACGTACTTAAAGCGTTTCTTCTCAGAGTTCCACTAATTGCTGTGGCTGTATTACTTGCCCAGCCTCTGTGCTGTGGTACAGTTTAATTATTGTAAATCTCTCACTCCTTCTCTCTCTATTTCAATCAAGCGCAGGACTCCAAAATAAAGAAAAGCGAAGACCGAGTATGGAGTCTAAATATAATCCTTCCTAAATTATTGAAGTTACTAAGCTCTGCCTGGTGTTTTACATAACTTCAGGAGCAAGGGAAAAAAAAAACAGAAAAATTGTGTTCTACACGTTTTTCCGAGCCCTACAATCACTCGGAAAAAACAAGGCAGAAAATGCTTTCCTCCCTGTTCACCCTCCTCAGTAGTTGCTTGTTCTGTTTTTCTCCTGCTGCTCCTGCTGAAATAACCATCTGCTTTCTTAGTTCTGATACAAGCGCCTCCCTCATCAGTTACTGTAAATGTGCCTTTTTGGCCAACACAGATGCTTCTCTTCGCCACACAGTACAGGTGTGTACTGTGTTTTCCCATTCCTTAGGGCTCCTTTTCACTTTAAAAGGCTCTTGGCATTTTCTGCTTTCACCTGCAGCGTATCTGCGTGGCCCACTTGAAGGTGACGGAGATTAATGTGAAGACTGCAGGTCACTCTCTTCTTGACTCGCGCCATTTCATTACTCAAGCACCCCAGCTCAAGGGCCCCTGCTGCGGCCTGCAGCTGATTGAAAAGTTCTTAGCACTCTTTGATTCCCAGGATAACAGGTCCTTATTGTCTCTCTTTCAGTCTCTGAAAAATGATGAGACCGTGGCCAAGAAGGACGTCCTGAGGATTCTGGAGCTGAGCCAGAAGCAAAGGTAAATCTAATTTCACCTCCTCACACGCACACACACCCCTCCCAACTTCGTCTCCCTACTCCAAAAGCCATTTCAGCGGATCATGTTTGGTTTGGTGTCATTTTGTTTTCACCTAACCTAGGAACTCAGCTAAGAACGATTCCCAGAGAGATTAAATGATCTGCTTCAAGTTCCTTTTGTTCTGCAAATTAAACCAAACTGTATTCCAGTGTTGTGCTGAAGGGTATCCTATCTGTGGCTCTTGATAGCATTCTTTTTTCCTAATAACTGATCAACTAGTTTTATTTTTTTATTAACCTTAATTAACATTAACATTTTATTAACATTTTTCTCTTTCTGAAGACGTTAACGGGTTTGGAAGACATAAAGTCGTAGCTAGGCTTTTAACCGAGAAAACAAAGTGGACAGAGTTAATAAATCCTTCTGAAGTGTCAGAAACAAAGCATTTCCCCCAGATTCTTTCTTATTTTTTAAAGACTAAAGACACTTGGGAGTGAAAGAGCTTCAGATGTCTGTCTGAATAAATATTAAAAGAATTCTGAAACTCTGAGGGGTTTTTTTAACTACTTGACAGAAAACACTTTCTTTTTTCTTTGGACTCTATACTATAAAAGATTAAAAAATGAAACAGAATATGAGCATTGCTGAAACTGGGAGACGCTTAGTCATATTCTGTAATTGAAAAATACTGTTTTTAGTGTAATTACACTTTTCACTAAAGCAATAATGGATAATGGCAAGTTCCATGAAGCTGACCTGTTTTATCCTGACCTATCATGTGACTGCTTCAGGACCTCATGATTCCTGAGTTCTAGACAGTAGGCACAGTAAGTAGGTCTTTTTCCAGGCCATCAAGGCCCTTGTGGAAGAGGGGGCAAGGGCCACTTTTCTTGACCATCTGACGCTGGAGGTGGAGGTGATGGGATCAGCATCACGCTCCGGTCAGCCTATTACCCCCGGATGGATTAACCCCCGGTACTCATCTGGAAAGCAGGCTGAGTGGACCTGGGAGCCATCTGGAAGGAATCAGAGCTCCATCGCTTGCCCCTACCTGGGATTGAACCCGGGACCCTCCAGTCAGGAGCTAGACACCCTTGCCAGAGTTCTAGACTCTAGGGGTAGAGATGTACAGTACCACACATACGTATGATTGCTTTTCAGTAAGTTCTTTTTTGCAGCCCAGCCTCTTCCTCAGAGTGCTGGGCCATGAGATGAAAGGATAGCTTAGGAGACCTCACAACAGACATGACTGTTAGAGTATGTACTTCCAGTGCATCACTGAAGGCAAAAGCAGACCTGGCTTTATTGCATCTTTTCAGAAAGTGACAGAACGAAGAACATCAAGAGCCATAATCTGGGCTAAAAGAGGCTTCTGAACCTCTGCTCATACCCGCACATCCCTGGCTGAGTATCTTCATGAACACCTATGCCCATCTAAAACAATCGATGTCATGACATTGTCAACACCACTGGTGAGCTGGTGTTCACCCGTTATTACCGGCATTCCCTAACATTTTGGTTGCATAAAGAAATCTGGGAATTCTTTTACACATCCCTTTTCATCACCTCGAAGAAAAGCTCAGAGAGGATTGTGACAGAGCAGGGCTGGAGCAAGTTGTCTCTCCTGTGATACTGACCAGAGACAGTACATCCTGTATCGTGACTATTTTGTGCAATTCTGTGGGCTGCGCTGTTCCTGATGTTCATATAAATGCAGATCCTTGCAATACCTGTACGTTTGATTCCAATATTTCTGCGTTAGTGGAAGACAGAGCTTTCTGACCTTCTTGCTTTCTTTTATATACAGCTGGCTTCATGGTTACATTTTTATCTTTGAAAAAAACGACCTTGCTGAAAAGCAATCCTGATCATAAGCACATGTAGTGCTTCTCCACCCCTGCGAGGCCACTGCTGAAATGTTTATTCTTGACAGCTCCATAGGAACAGATGCCATTCCTTTAGGTCAAGCCTTTTAGCAGCTCCAGGTTAGGAAATGACAGCATTCAATTTCTCAAACTTCAAATGTGTAATAGCTTTCTATTTTCTTTCCCCATCAATGGGCACTGCGAAAGGAGACGCTGTCAAAACCTGTAGACGTACACGTTTTGTCATTTCTAATCAGGTTGTCAGAGGTAGTGGTTTCTAACCTTTTCATAAAGATCCCGGGAGATCTCACTATTCAGATGTGAGGATGCTTCAAAGAGAATTGTCACCCGTGGAAAAAAAACACAAAAAAAGAAATTGAGATTTGTATTATTTTTGCATTGCCCAAAGCAGAATCGAGGCTTGTTTATTCAGTGGCACATTTGCCTTGCAGGATGCGATGCTTCCTGTTTCCTTAAACTGTGTTATTGGCAGCTTTCTGCGCAGCTTCCCAGATAATTGGCGCTGGTGAAAATCTGAAAACAAAAGCCGATTTGGTTCTCTAAAAAATAGGGGGTTCTAAACTTTGCAGTTTGGCTGGGCAACACGCTAAGGGCAAATTCCGGATTGTGTTGTAAATAGTCTGGGTGATGGGGAATGTCTCGGAATTAACAGGAGACGTTAAAGGGATGGCACCGGGTGAGGGCCCACTGTGGGTGACGGGCTTCCCTCTCTCTCCCGCAGGGAGGAGATGAAATCTCTCCAGGAGGCCCTCCAGAAGCAGCTCAACGAGGCCGCGGAAAAGGCCGAGAAGCAGCAAGCCACGGTGAGTGCCCCTCTCAGGACAAAACCTGGCCCACCGCTGCCCCTGCCTGGGGGGGGGGATCCAGACCCGCCCCGCCCAGCCCATCTGGGACACTTCCTCGCCCAGAGGAGCTGCTGCAGCTGTGGGGCTCAGGACATAGGCCAAGTGCGGTCAGGAGCTCTAAGACAGCTGTGCTAGTTTGCTGTAAGACAGCTGTATCAGTTTGCCAATACCGTTAGTCCCTCCAGTGGTATTCCACTGCTTGAAACGTTTGTGTCTGATCACGTTTCCTGTGACAGAATCTGGAGGTGTTTACTTATTGTGTCCAGATGAAAACCCATCTGGCCTATCATCACGTGTGGGGTCCTTCCTCGCTGTCTGCCCTGTCTAGGCCATTGGAAAGTGCAGTTTAATTTGCCTCTTTCCTTTGATTCTCCAGGATCCATCAAGTCCTTTGCTGGACACCCTAACTCTGTGGAGTGTTTCTCATAACATCAGTCAGACCAGTGAAGGTACATCTACACCAGGCTAATGAGGCTTGATAAGGGTAGAACAGATAGCCAAGGCAGCTTGCTTGAGTAAATATGTAAGGCAGAATTAGCAGCAGTTTCAGATGGTTCTGCTTTAGCACTGTGAAATGGCTGTGGCAGTTTAGTTGGAAAGCTGCCTATTCATAGTAATCTCTTGGCCACTTTGTAAGAATGCAAGCAATCACAGCGCAGTCCAGTGAATGTTTGAGATTAGTTTAATTGTGACAGAAATGGTCACTTCCAGAGAACACTGCATGAGACGTCCCACAGTGCCCCGAATTGCAACAGAGGTTTTTATAGTCTGAGTCCAGCCATGTTATTTCCATGAATGGGGGTTTAAGAGTCTGCATTCTACTTATGGTCCAGTGGCTATCCGTAATGATGTTGTCCCGCCTTTCAGCGGTTTCTGTTGTGCAGCAGTAGATGTTTGTTCAAAATTCTCCCTGGCCAGGTCAGGAGACCAGGTCAGAGAAACCAGGCCAGAGCCAGAAATCTACAACTTCATGTACTGTAATCAACCATTCATTATGCGATAGAAGCCGGGAGCGAAAATGTCTGTGCTGAGCAATACGTTACATTATTTAAAAATATTCTTGAAGCAGCCTGGTTCTGCCAGCTCATTCGGGGAAGGAACTTTAGTGCAGCACTGTGCCAGACTACTAGAGCTGTGAGTCCCCGCTGTTAAAAATAACTGTGAAAGAGATTCTCAAAGCCTCATTCAGATTTCCCACTGATACCCAGGCAGAATAGATAGAGGCGGTGAAGATTGACAGACTGCAAAAATAACTTGACCTGCCAAAAGTTTCAAAGAGGGGTGGCTTCTCCAGATGTCAGCATTAATAGAGGGAAATATATTAAAAAGTGACAAAAGGAGGAACACAATCTGTGTGGGCCCCTGGCTTTTCCATTCAGCTTCATTTTGCAGTTGTTTTCTATTCCGTTATGTGAGTCCTCTTTGGTTCTCTGTGGTGTCTTGTGACATTATCTGCCAGGATCCTCAGAGCCAAGTATCAGGAAGTGGGTGGAGGAAGGAAATGTATGCTACACAGACGCTGGTAATAGTAGCAACACAAGCGATGGCAGGAGGTACAGCATTTACTTTTCCGAGCTCTTTAGTGGTGGAACTGAATATCCCTGCCTTGTAAAGGTACTCACCTTTTCAGAAAAAAACATTTAGAAACGTTTCTTTTTTCTATTAAAGCTTTTAGTTAGGCTTTTTCACTTCGCTGTGCCTTGTGGTGGTTTCCACAAAAGACTCCTTTGAAATCTGCGCTGGAGCATTTGAATCGCAGGACAAAACCCTCTCGGATTTGAAAGGGGGAGATGCAAAGCAGGGAAGCACATTAGAGGTGGCCCAGCATTAATTCTCCACATTGAACTCCTCCGCTACCAGTGTTGCTAATTGCAGGTCTCGCAGTCTGGTTCCTGGCAAACCGAGCTCTGTCCAGGGGGCATTTTTACTCAAATTGACCTGTCCTTTATGGGATTACAGTGACACTGCTGCTCCTTAATAAATGTCAATGGCACCCAAAGCACTTTGCTCTTTCAGTAGAGGTAGAATGTTAATCACTGTATATTTATTACTTTATTGCTGTGCATTTCAAGCAAAGTGTTCGTGCAGCAAAAGCTTAGGACTCTTACTCTTACTGTTGTCCCTTAAAACACAAGTTGGCATGCTCATCTCACAGAAAGCACATACTGTAGCAAGAAAAATAAGTTCCCCTTGATTGTTTTTTGTTGCCACTGGAATTAAAATAATAGCTAGATAGTTACTGCAACCTTCTGTAGGATGACGAGGTGATGGATGGGCTGTATTTCTGCAGTGTGTGTAATAAGTACCATATAGTATTTTGGAAAATTGTGAGAAAACAGTGAAGAAGCCTTTAAGACCCACACACGCGCCATTAGATGTTTGTAAACCAGTGGATGGTTTAGATTTATGATGCCTCCTGATTTGGCTGTACACTAATGGGAAGCAGAAAACATGCCGATTATACATACAGTACTTCATCTTCTTTCCCCTTTTCATACTTTCCTAGCTATAAATAAGTGCAAAACATGATAAATCTAACCACTATCTTAATTACCCGTTGTTTCTGCTAATGAAGAAAACTTGAAATGGAAAACATAAGTATTAACGCACTGCGTCTCTTTATACTCATATAGTTAAAATCCCAAAGGGAAAAACGATCTTCTTTCCAACTCTGAAATTATTCCTCTTACAGTTTATGCAGTTATACCAGCTATACATTGCCCCTGGTTATTGGAATAGAGCCATGTGGTAAAATAGCCTCTAGCCATGCTGGGTTTTTTTAAGCTAAAGCTACTATTTATTGCCTGGCAGCGTTGCCCCAGGCCACATACATTTCAAAAGAACTCTCTTAGCACTGGTAAAAGTAGAGTTCTGGACTTTATCGGACTGTGCACCAACTCCACTGCCTCTGCCACTGAGCAGGTCTTGACTTGTGCTGCGCATGAAGCTGAAAAGCAGGGGAGAGCACGACTGCTGTATTAATGACCGACTCTCAGTATGCACAGGACAACACCAGAGAGCTTAGCGCCAGCCCCAGGCATGTAAAGAGCAATTAGACTTGTATGCAGGGGGAGTGTTGATGTAGGATATTGCTCTCACACCTGAAGAAGGCTTCACAGCTGAAACGTTGTGTTTAATAATAATAATAACATCACTTTATTAACCCTTTACAATTTCTTGCATTAGGAATTATCTTTTTGCAGACCCCAGCTTGCTCTCCATGAGACACACAGACACGGAGAGAAGCTTGGGGTCAGAGCACAGGGTCTGCCATTGTACAGCGCCCCTGGAGAAGTTGGGGTTAAGGGCCTTGCTCAGGAGCCCAGTGGAGTAGGATTCCTCTGCCAGCTGCAGGATTTGAACCGGCAACCTTCCAGCCACAGGCGCAGATCCTTAGCCACAGTGCCACCGCTCCGATCTTCTCTTTTCAGCAGGGAATAAACCTATTACTTGTTCCGCATTAAAAAAAGAAGGCTGAACCATCAGTCTTGTGAGAGATGTAGAAGCAATGACAGTCTTTGGTTTGTTTGACTGGTGTCATTTTTGCAGGACAGCACCACAAGAGTGCTACAGTAAAATAAACCCCCTTTACCTTCTCCTTGCAGTCGCAGGATTTCAATTTTTACAGAACCTTTTAAAGGGTAACTTGTCGTCCGCCATTAATCCAAAGGGTCTCACATGCTCACTATGGGCTTATCTGGGCACACCCAGGACCGAACTGTCAATCAAGACCTACAGTAGGGTTGCTGCACTGCCAATTATAGGTGCCCTTGATAAAGGGTTCCTGGGAACAATGCATGAACTGTGTTCACAGAATTCAAACACGCTACACAACACACGCATAAAAAAAAGGAAATTAAAGCAGGCACAGCAGAAGAGAGATAATTAGATTAGATCAATACGCTCTGTACCCACTGCTGTAGTCTGGTCACGTGTGGGCATTCCTGATTGAAGCTCACTGGGTACCGCAGAGCTCAGTACTCCTGACAAACTCGACATGATGCCTACACAGGTGTATCATTCCAGCTGGTTAGTGAAATGTTCACTGGGGCTGAAGCAGCACGCAAAGCTGGAATCGTGACAGAGACTAGCTTTGCTGTTTATGGACAAACACACAGGCTTGTTTTTTAAAAGACCTGGAGTTCCTGTACCTGCATGGGCTTGTAGCCAGGAACAATGATTGAAATCATTTAAACACCTTATCACTTAGGCAGCGAGCTGCGCACAGCAGCACTGCAGGAGTACAATATAAATGGCTGCTTTCCTGCACGCTAGTGATTGATTGATTGCTAAGTGGCAGAGGTATTAGAAAGGCGCAAGAGTTTGTGTTTCATTGTAGCTTCACCTAGCTGCAATTTTTCCTCCTGCAACACACACAATGGGCTATTGTATTGAGGAAAACAAATTCACGCACCCACAAAGCCCAGGCTCTTGTTTAAAAAAGAATACAGTGCCTGTGACCTGCTCGGCATGAAGCAGGGATCACAATGTGGGGCTGCATTTATCCTCTCTGACCCTTGAGGACAACTGCCTCCCTGTCTGCACACACAAGGCAGGCTTCTTTCCTTGAACATTTTACTATACAGGACTACTGTATATCCTCTGCTGTTTGAGATCAGAGTGTCCTTCATGTGTTTGTTTAGCTGACGGCTTTATCCAAGATCGTTTTTCGATTGCAGCACTTACAAAACAGAACAGTACAGCAAAAGAGTTTGTGGCTGTACAGCACAAACTTGGTTTCCTGGTGCAAGAAATTCCACAGTAGCCAAAGCACTTAAAGACATGGCCTTCAGAGGAAACAAGTAGGGTACAATATGCCTTAACAGAAAACGCAAAGAATAAAAAGAAAGCAGGGGTGCATTTTCTAAGACTATGCTTTAGTTATATTCATTGGTGCCTGTTTTCGGTCCATATTATCTTTGCTGTTTGAGCCTCTGTCCTGCATTTTACGTTGGAACTGTGCAATCTGGAGTGTTTAGTGTAAACCCATGGCAATCTTTGTAGGAAAAGCCAGGAGCTGCTTCGTTTTTTTTACAAGGATGTGACAAAGGGGTTAATCCATTCTGGTTGCCATATCTATTCTTTGACATATCTCAGGTTTGCAATATTACTTTGCTAGGAACATTCTGTTCTTTCAAAATTGCGTCCGGATGGATGGATGGATACAGAGATTGCCAGATAAACCAGGCAGACAGAGAAAGAGAGAGGAGGAAGGGCAGGCAAGCGGACAGATAGGTAATTATAGTGCAGTGGTTGGTTTTATTTTCTGTTTATCTGTACAGCAACAGAGATTCATAACATCATTTTTCCTTCACTTTAAATGACTATCCATATTCCTTCAAAGTGCCATCTATTCTAGCTGTGCGCTGCTGTGTATGAAAATCATTATCCATTTCTTTCAGTCATATTGTCGTAACACATTTATTAAACATTAATGGTATGGCTAATGTTTAATAAAAAAATAAAACAAGGCAAATTGTCCTGTGATAGATTAGGGGGTTGAGCCAGACTGGAAATGTAATATGCGGTGTCAACTTCAACACTTGAACGTTTTCTGAAGGAGAACATTTCTCTGCGCTAAATTGTTATGAGAACAATAATTTCTCTGTTTGTCTCCTGTGAGATCCTGACCCGAGCTAAAAAAAAATGAGAAGCAGAATCTGATTATTTTAATCCTTCGGTAGAACAGTGAAATGATGAACCACACACAAGTGTGCTAAAGATGTTTGTGCCTTTGAGAAATACATAAGTAATCATTAGGAATGCTTTTAGAGAAGGAATGTCTTTTTCCTTATCCTGTGTCTTTGTGTGCGCCGACACATAATATTCAACAATTGTTAATTATAGCAATGATCCTATTTCCTACTCTGAAGCCAGGAACCCAGCTGCTCAGATCCTGCTTTGACACCATGTCTCCTCGAAAGTGTGATTCAATGTATAACACTTCCTGCACCCTACTGCTGTGGCCCACATGTCAATCAAGGAAATGAACTTCTGTGGGGATTCTCCTTCCCTACTGGCACACAAGCTGCCACTTTCTGTGGACGCACTGTGAGCTTCGTGATGTTCCGGGCTGGGACAGCAATGCCACAGTCATCTTGTGCAGTGTCCATCTGTCTTCCGGTGCATGCCTGCTCTGTGGGGACAGCCGGATCTCAGCAAAGGGAGCAGGCAGACCACAGATCAACAATGTGTCCTGAATTGTTTTGCTCTCATTTCAATTACTCCTTATGTGTTTTTTTGCTCTGTGGAATGATTTTGCAGCTGCTCCTGCCCCTTTCAGATGCCAAGGATGGAGTATCAGCTTGATGAAACATTTCTGGTTTATGTAAAAGCTTGAAAATGAATCATTTTCTATTTGGGGAAAATAGATTTAACTGGATGCCACTCTCTCTACCCCAGAAATCAACAGGCAAAAACGACTAATTTTTTTGGAGTAGAGCAGTTGCATCTACTTTTCTTAATTGATTTACTTTGCCTGACAGCACCTCTGTGATCTCTGAGTGCGCCTTCTTTTCTTTTTTACCTTTTCCTACTCCATTCCGTGACACCCTTGTTTCCTTCAGTCTTGTAGAGCATTAGACATGTGCGGCACAGAGGTGAAATGGCTTTCGTTTGATCTCCTTATCTCTCTCTGTTTTTACTTGTAGATCAATTTCCTAAAGACCGAAATGGAAAGGAAGAGCAAAATCATCAAAGATCTTCAGCAGGAGGTGAGGGGTTGCTCTTGGCCACTGAGAAGTGCAGTCTCCACATTCACATCCAGTAACAATTCATCTGTCAAGACTACACCCTTCCCTACTTACTTTCTGTCTACTGTATATACAAGAAGAACATATTAAGAACATAAGAAAGGTACAAATTGAAAGGATGCCATTGAATTTGTTTGGTTGATTATAGAATCTAAGGTATCAAATTCTTAAACATGGCTCTGCATGGCTTGGCGCCTCAGTACCTGTCTGAGCTCTTATCACCCTACTCCCCACATAGCAGCCTTCGCCCCTCTAATTCTGGTCTCCTAACTGTCCCCCAAGCCCGTCTACACTCTAGGGGTGACAGGGCTTCTCCTGCTGCACCCCAAAACTCTGGAACTCTCTCCCCAAGGATATCAGAGAGTCTCCTTCTCTAAACTCCTTCAGATCCAGACTCAAAAACCTGTAGAAGGGCCTTTACTTCACTGGTTCTGTTCTTTACCCCTCTGCTCCTGCTGTATTTAGCACCACCATCCACGGTCTCCTCTGTGTGTTGTAATTGTGTTTTATCTTGTATATTCTTTTTATTTATTGTTTGTCATTCTGTAAAGTGCTTTGAGAAGCCACCTTTTAAGGCGCTATATAAAATAACATTTTTAATTATTATTATTAGTAGTAGTAGTATAAACACAGTGGGGATTTGGTTCCAGATTCCCACAACTTTTTGTGTAAGGAAGTGCCCCCCCAGTTCAGTTTTATTTAAAATAATTTTCACTTTCTTATGCTTCATATTCAAGGACCTTCAGAACCAACAGTAATATATTTGTAGTCACCTCTATTCCATACCAAAGGTTTGAATAAGGTCTCACTAGAATATTTCACAATTTTAACACAACGCCAACTGATTTAAATTATGACAGTTTTTATACCTAAAATCCTTACAGTCTGTTTCCCTTTGATATTGTTTCCTCACTTTGTCTAAAGGGTGAAAATGGAATTGTCTACATAAACACCTCAGTTGTTTTTTGTAAAGCATTAGTTTGCTTGTGTTACCTGCATGCAACACCTTACATGTGTTATATTACATGTCATCACCCAAGTGCTTACCCAGTCCTGAATTTAGTCTACATCTTTTTAAATTATTTTTACAGCGTCTACAGTATTCCCTCCTATTTTCACCTGTTGTTGTTGGGAATTTGATTGAAACTACCAGTGGTAAACTACTGTACATATGTTCAAAGAGCTGGATACATAACAGATGCACTTAGCTCTGCATTTACCCTTGGTTGTACCCGTAAAGTACTGTATATTGCTCTGCCACACTTTTTGCATTGTGTTAATTCCATGCACAGGATGCTAATCGGGTTTCGGAAAGGCTCTCGTTAACAAGATGCATTTAGTAGAACTGCTCTCAGGGTCATGAAATTATGCAGTAAATCTGTTCATGACAACATATAATAACGAACTCACAGCTGTGTCTGCAAAGCTTGTTAATTGGAACTGGTTTATACAGCAAAAATATTTTGAATATAGCACAATATTTCCTGACATGTGAAAGAAGCAGTATTTTGTGCTGTTATCAAAGGTATAAATTAACACTGTGTCACAGTAGGGTAACAAAGATGGTACTGTTATCTGTGAATAACACAGACCATAGTCGTTTGTGTCAAAAATACATATGCTTTACGTGAATTCATGGTGTAATGCTCTATTCAATTGCTTCTTGTCAGTACTCTAGTTGTTATGGTCATTTTTCTGTAAAATAAATAGGGTTATCTGAAGTTCACTACACAGCTGATAAGCTAAACCTGGCCTGCTGTTCTCTCAAAATGGTAATAATTACAAAGGTCATGCCTGTCCATTCACATATGGTTTATTGTTCGATTTCAAAGAGAGTGAAAGATAGTTTTTGTGTTTGCATTCTGTTAGCTCAAGGGCACACTGTAGTGTGTCTCTGACTGCAGTAGCATGTGTTCTGAAACTCAAATGACATTTTTAATTAACAAGATCATCTGAAAGACAGGAAGCCGTTGTGACCTACAGTAGGAGTATCCGAGGACAATGATCTGTCCAGTATTTGCCAAATGTACAAAATCCAGGAACAAAATACTTTTATGAATTTATTGACTACCTGAATAAAATTCAGAGACAGTATATTCATGATTTAATGGACTAATTGGGGGGAGGAGGGGTCCGATATTGCTGAATCTCTGTTAAATCCAAATGTCTGTAAAATAACGTCTATATGAAACCAAAAGTCCGTTAAATTACAAAATGAGATATTCTGAAGCACAACGCCACCTGTATTTACATGAAAAATGACAGATTTTGATATATATATTACATATCATCCATTAGAAAATAATAAATAATAATAAATTACCCACCCTCTTTTAACAAGAAAAAAAACCCTGAACATTATGTAGTCACTTTGCTCCTTTTCCATTTTTATTGTCAGTCCTGTTGAGAGGTTGACGCCATTTGCTAAGGAGGTGGTAGGTTGAGGCGACACAGGTTTTGGTCAGCTAATTGGCTTGAAGAAAGCATCCAATTTTAGTTGTGTTTTGGAAGTTTGTTGCTTATGAATAGTAATATCTCTGAAAGTTAGGAAGTGAGAGTAATACAGCTGAACTTCAGGATCAGGTGATGAGTTGATAAACATGATCAAGTCAAGGAGATGAGATCTTAAATCAGACAGCTTGATTGTGCAAATTGGTGGCCCTTCTTCCTCATCATCACTTTCTTCGTCCGCTTTATCACGAGTCATAACTTCTTCAGCTATCTCCCTCTCTGTCAACACTCAAAGCTTCTCCATAAGTACCGAAGTATCGACATATCAACCAGGAAAAAACGGGGAAGTACCGACATATGAACCGTAGAAATCCAAAATCCGTTAAAACAAGGATTTACTGTACACACATCCTGTACACACCTTCCTCAAAACAACTCAAATCATCGCTTGTATGCTGGTTTTGTGTGTGACTCATAATCGCAATCCTATACGTAAGATTTTTTTAATTCTTGTAAGCAACATTTGGATGGGCTATTTTACAAAACGAAAGTTTCAAAGCTGAGGTTTTAGCATGTGCAGCTGTTGGCAGCAGTGCAGAGGAGCGGTCTGGATTTCTAGTTGGAGGTTTGTGAGTTCAACTCCCAGATGGGGTACAGCTGTCACACCCTCCGATTGTCGTCTGAAAGCATCGGCTAAACAACTGAGACATACAGTAATAAGGTGCAACTGCCCGTCCCCTTTTCTCATGTTGTCACGGATGTCAGAAGGGACGAGCCGTGGAATGGCAGGAGAGCGATAAAGACCCTGTGCGTAGCAGTGAGACTTGGGTTAGCCCGGGCTCAGCTGTTCAGGAAATGCCGTATAGAGACCTATGGCCTCAGGTAGCGGGCATGGGGTGACCTGGTGCTATGAGGGTCTCAGGACATCCGAACGTCAGTGCTGAGAGAAGGTGAATGAGTGACCCGGAAATATATAGCCCCAGAGAGAGAGACACCGGAAGGAGAGCAAAGCACAGGAAACTAGGGACAGGACAGAGTAGGAGCGCCCTCTGGCTGCAGAGGGTGTGACACATGTTCGGCTATAGTGCTTGTGCGTGCTTTTCAGCTTCTCCGCCACAAGACTGGACAGCACGCAAAAAAAATGCAGAAGTCCGCCGAGCTCGCCTCTCTTCCCTGCTGTCGTCCGTGACGTTTCACCATTAAAACCGAGGCAAGCACAAAGTCGACAGATGTCTCCCGACGGGCCTGGGGGGAATGACTTTTGTCAAGGACAGTCTCCTGGGGTCCCCCAAGAAAGTTTACGCTGGAAAGTGGGCGGCGGGTCCCTTCATTCTGACGGCTCACCTAGATCCGCTAAGAGAGAGAGTACTCATTGCTCTTCTGGCTCTGCCAGCTGATTATTAAAACTCAGTCCATAAAAAGACCTAACGTATGACTTAATCTTGGAAGACAGCCACCCGACTCTCTCTCCTCCTGTTAACTGAAAGCGACGGGCTGGCCGCATTAAAATTCGGTGTTTACAGTCTCGCTTGGTCGACGGCTGTTAAGCATTCCACCAAGCTGCAAGGTTCATGTTTGCCCAACGATCAAGGCTCCCACGGGGCGGCTGCATTTATTGTATTAATGGCGGTGATAATTATGCGCATCGGGCTTTTTGGAAACGTCCAACTCTCTAATTCTATTTCAGTTGGCCTCGCCACTGGTGGCTCTGCTCGATCTGGAGGTCACAATCAGATAATAGCGATTCAGGTTTGATGTCTAGCCAGCTGCCCAGGAGGATATGGAGCAGCGGCTGTGACACAATCAGGGAACATTGTCTTGACAGGAGAATTAGCATTAATGAGTGAATGGGCTGGCATCGCCAGATACTACTGTCAGCTCCCTAAGAGAGCCACCCCGAAGCTAATAATTCAACCCAACCGTAATTATGGTGGCAGTTCAGACCAGTGTAGCCAGGCCCAGATTTGTCCTAAGCAGACGACGACGTGTTTAACTGGATCTGCCTCTTGCACGGGCAGGGCAGTGGGTGGGCATAGGGATACGGGGCAGTGCCGAGCGACTGATCCCCGGCCTGGCTCAAAGCACGCAGCCAAAAAATGCGACCGGCATCATCACATGTCTCATATCACTGTGCAGCTCCCAGCTGGCAGCCCACCGGAGATCAGCAGGTGTGAGCCTGGCCAGTACCTGGATAGGAGACCTCCTGGGAAAGCTGAGGCTGCTGCTGGCAGAGGTGTTGGTGGGGTCAGTAGGGGGCGCTCAACCTGCTGTCTGTGTGGGTCCTGATGCCCCAGTGTAGTGACGAGGACACTATACTGTAAAAATGCATGTGTATGCATGTGTGTGAATTTACTGCGCTGTCCTTCAGATAAGATGTAAAACTGAGGTCCTGACATAAAAATCCTAGGGTGTTTCTTGAAAAGAGTAGGGGTGTTACCCCAGTGTCCTGGCCAAATTTCCCCCTGGCCTTTACCAGTCATGGCCTCCTAATAACCCCCCCCTCTGAACTGGCTCCATCACTCTCCTCCCCACTGAGAGCTGGTGTGTGGAGAGAGGACTGGAGCATCATCCAGGTGGGGCTGCACACTGGTGGGGGTGGAGGGGATCCCCATGACCTGTAAAGAGCTCTGAGTGGAGGGTCCAGAAAAGCGCTATAGAAGTGTAAGGAGTTATTATTTCTTGATTAGTGACACGGTTCAGGCGGATGGTTTCTTTCACAGCAGCCGCGTGCCCTGACCTGGAACTGTGAGCTCCCGCATGTAGCACTGCAATCTGGTGAGGAAGTTCCCAGAGTGAATGTGACAGGTCATCCTCTTTGTAACCCAGCTACCCGTATGGGGCTCACCTGGGTGACGCCTCAGTCGCATGTTTATGGAGAGGTTTGCTTCTAGGGATCGGACCACCCCCTTCTGCTCTGTCTGTGTCAGGGCCCCACTTGACAGGGAAGCATTTTTGAGCCTTTGTGAAATACAGTAAATCAAGTTTGTAATTGCTGCCTTCAGGAGCCCCATTTCTGGGAACAAACACACCATGTTTAAATTCTTTCAATTCCCCTTTCAGAACCGTGTCTTCTGAGTTGCATTCTGAAGGAAGCTTTGGTTTGCTCCGAGTGCCTATTACATTGATAGGCTGGAAGAACTGAGTCTCTGTATTATTGAGCATTTAATAGCAGAGAACGTGAAGTCCTCAAAGGCTTTAACACAGTCAACCCGGCAGATTCCTTCAGAGGCGCATTTAAAACTGAGAACCTGAGACCCTTCTTGACTGGAAGAGTTGTGGGTGTCTGGAACAAGCTCCCCAGCCATGGTGTCAAAGCTCAAACCCTGGTTTCTTTCAATAAAGGGCTGAATGAGCTCCTCAGCTGAACTAGCTACGAACTACAGACTTGTTTGGAACCTTTCTGATGTTCGTATGGTAACAAATAGACAAAAATAGCAAACAAGGCAGCAGGAGTAGGAGAGGGATGAAAAGAAAGATCTTGAAGGTAAGGAAGTATTAAAATAGCAGAGTGTGATGGCATTCAGTTATTTACATCTAGTAATTAGATTGTTAATTATCATTGCCTTCTGCTGTTTTTTTCCATCCTTCAGTAGTGAAGGGGTTGGTATACAGTGCTTATGTTTTGTTTGGTGATGAGATTATTTTACTCAGTTGAACAGTGGTTTGCTGGCAGTCAGAGACATCGGGCTATTCCTCAACATTCAGCAAGGTACAGACGGACTGTCTTGACTCAGTAACTGAACGCTGTTCATGAGAGGACCCAATACAGGAACAAAAAAACGACCAGTTGCAATCTGACATCACCAATAAGAAAGAGCTGACAAATATCATTAGATCTCATTCTTTGTTTTCCAGAACAAAAGCCTGAAAAATAAACTTCTCTCTGGGAGCAAGCTGTGTGGCATCCATGCGGAAGAGGTAAGGAGAATCTGTCCGAATCTTTCACACGCTGCACATCATTCACATCACCCAGAAGCAGTAACACAGACCGGACAGTTACCTCATTGCAGACACTCTCTCTCAGTGACTGGGCTCTGGAGAGACAAACTAGAGTAACCCTGGGATCAAAGTTGCACACCGTCAGTCCTGCAAACTGAAGACTTCAACAAAAACTTGGAATGTCCCCAAACACTCAGTATGTGCTAGTTTGCTACCTTATCTCCAAAGCGCACAGCTAAGTGCTCTGCGCAAAAGGAGGAACCCAGCTCTGCACTGAAATGGCCCTTTTAAACCTGAGATGAAGCAAATGTCAACACTCCTGCAGAAGACAGAACAGGAAAACTGTGGCGACCTGCTGCTTTCAAGACCTAGAAGTGAGGCAGACCTCACTATCTGTATTACAATGAAGGCTTTCCCTCTGCTTGTGCCTCAGACATCCATGAAAAATATGGTTGCTATAAGAGATAGTGGTGATTAGCACTACTGATTCATAATGTCTTGGGTTTAATTCCAGTTCTCCCCAGCTGTTTGCATGTCCCCCATATCTGCATATTTCACCATGATGGGGGCCTAAAGGCCTGCAGGTTAGATCTGACTGGCTGCTCTAAATCATCTCCATTAAGATAAGATAAGATCACTTTATTGGCCCTATACAATTTCTTGTATTAGGAATTCATCTTTTCACAGAGCCCAGCTTGCTCTCCATGAGACATAGACAGGGAGAGAAGCTGGGGGTCAGAGCGCAGGGTCAGCCATTGTACAGCACCCCTGGAGCAGCTGGGGTGAAGGGCCTTGCTCAGGAGACCAACGGAGTAGGATTCCTCTGCCAGCCGTGGGATTTGAACCAGCAACCTTCCAGCCACAGGCGCGGATCCTTAACCACAGAACCACCGCCCCATTAGGATCCCCATTATTACCTGGCCATGAGCAGGGCTGGATTATGGTGTTCGTAGGCCCTGAGCACTTTCACTCCAAAATCTGCTAAAAGAGGATTAAACGCAAATTGATTGACGTCGACTGACACTGTGCACTTTAAACTCTTCTGATGCTAAACCGTGTAATTGATGGAGCGAGTCGAGCAACCATTGCTTCAATACTTCGAGTTTCTAGAACAGCCGCTAGATTGCGTAGGATTATTGATTTGGAGTCGATTGCAAGCATGTTGCTCCAGCTCGTTTTTCATTAGTCACTAGTGTTTCCCTCCTTAGTAGGCCCTAAGCATTTTGTAGGCCCTGTGCCTGCAGTGCCTAATAGGAAATCCAGCACTGTCCATGAGTTCTCTGGCTTTTGTGCCTGTATTCATGCAAAGACAGAGAGGATAAATGAACAATCATGATAAATCACCAAGAAAGAGACTACTACTTTGTTTCAGAAAAAGCACAGCTAATTAAACTTAATGCACAGAATAAAGACCTCAGAACTCATTAATTTTTATTTGTTTTTCATTTTATCATTGGTTATTTGTATGGTTGTCAAGCCTTGCTTCTGTGGGAGCTGGCAAGTGCCACTCCCAAAGTCCTTTGACAGGGATAAGTGAAGTAAATGCCCCAGGGGACCTGACTTATAAAACGAAACCTGGGAAGAAAGCATTGAAAAAATAAGAAGAAATATATTGCTCTAAAGACGTCTTGTAGCTGCCTCTGTCAGCCTGCAGCTGGAGCAGGAGCAGTGTGTGCTGTGTCAGGGACCTGACAAAGACCGGTCTTCTGACTGCCCGTATGATAATGCTTGACATTGCTCAGTGCGAGCTGGTCTCTCTTCCCAGTCATGCAGAGTCTGCAGGTCCTGTCTGCTGTGATCTGCGGACTGTGCATGAATGAGCAATGAGTTCCTCCTGTATGACTAGCAAGGTGCATGGGGTCACATGCCTGCAGAGACACGGTGGCTGAAACATCTCAGCACTGACGAGTTCCTTTGTAGCTCCCCACTCAAACCTCTCACCTCTTGATGACTACTTTAACCATTTCCAGTGAACTATATACAGTAGTATGCATGTGTGCGCATTTACTGTGAATATCTACAATATGCATTACCAGACAGAAGACGCAAGACTAATTCAGAACAGTCCAACAGCTCCTTGCAGTTTCCTTTAATCCAAGTTACTCGAGCCTAAAATCGATCCGTGTTTTCGCAAAATTCCTGCGTACAAGGCTCAACATGTGGATTCTACAAACCGGCACTAACCTACTTCCGCGTCTTAAGAATTGGCTACTTTGAAGAACACGGTGATCGCCTCTTTTCTCTGAAAGGGAGGGGGCACGGGCGTTAAGATTAGAAAGCCCCCTTTTCTTGCGTTCGGAGAGTCTGGTGCAGGGCACTCGCCGAAGGCTAGTGGAAACTGGCCCCCAAACCCAGTCCTCTCCACCAGGAACAACGGCAGGAGCGCAGCTTAGCCGCCTGTGGCGTGGGAGTGCGTGTCCGTATGGGAGTGAGCGCGGACGTGGGAAGGCAAGAGGTGATCCCTCCTGCGTGCTTAATTGGAAAGAGGAGTTGATTTTCTCGCCGAACGCCTTTTCAGAACTTCACGCCGTGCCCAGGAAAGCAAACAATGGGAGCCTCAGACACGGACAGAATCAAATCCCAGTACGTGATCTAAAAGCAATTTCTGTATTTAAATAAGCTAACACACATTTCCTTATCTCCCCCCTGCAGTCCAAAAAAATCCAGGCTCAACTGAAAGAGCTGCGGTACGGGAAAAAGGATTTGATTTTTAAGGTAAGAGCAAAGCCGAGCTTTTTGGAAATAATTTCCGTGCTCATTGCACAATATGAAAATCCTCCAGGCTGAGAGTTTGAAGTTATATTGTTTAAGGTCCCTTAACGATCCTAAAGGAGGTCGATTTGTTTCTTAAAGAGCGTTTAAGAGAAATGTTGGGGGAGCATTCAAAGTAAGGGTTCAGCATCAGATGTGAAGGCACCCCAAGAGATGTAAGAGCTTCTTTTTACCATTTCAATCCCAATGTGAGACATTAAGCCTTGAGTGAGTCAGTCATAAACATTTTGACCTATGTCATCTAACAAAGGGACCTGCAAGCTGGGTGTGATGAAGTCTGTAATTTCAGTAAAGCCTTCAGGACAAAAGCACTTGAGAACAGGTAGGAGTTAATCCCAGCCCAGGGTTCACAGCAGGTGGAAAAAGAACATGCCTACTCAAAGATAACCTCCTACTGTACTTACACTGCTCCCCACACACACACACACGAAGGACAAAGACTGGCAAGGTACTGTGTGCAATGTGACAATAGTAACGGAGAGTTACACACAATGAAATTCCTCTTCTAACACTCCAGGGCTTTATACAGTATGTGCTCTATACGGATGGTCCAGAGTAGCAGAGTAGGCCTCCCTTCCAAAGTAGAAAACTCTAAAGGTAAAACTAAACATCTTTGCATCATAAAGACTTTCGTGCTAGAGCTACAGCACTCAGTTCTCAGTAAAGGAGATGAAGTGGATGAAGGCATGACCCCTGGATCTGCCAGTGTGTGCAGCAACATATTATTACATTGTAATAGCTCTTGAATAATCAATAGAGCACGGTTCAAAGTGAAGTGGAATCGATAGCTAGCCCACAGGGAAGCTCTCCACTGCACCTTTACTACAGTTATTCAGATTCCCTTAGACGATAACATGATGGTTTGAGTTCAAGCCCCAGCAGCAAGGACTGTGTGAAGAGCACCTGCCTTAATACTGCAGCGTGAAGCGTCATTTACTGTTCAGAAGCTTGTATAAAAGCAGAGGCTTCGTCGTTTCCCCTTTCAAGTTCAGTTTCAAGTCAGGGCGTTCCCAGTGCTGGCTTTCGCTCCTGGGAACGGCGTGCGTTATTGTAGTTCTCAGTCGCCGGTGTTTAATATTTGGATTCCTGTGCGCCCAGCCATTTATCAAGTGCGAGCTCGGGGCCTCACTGAGCACACTGCAAAGTACTGCCGCATCACCTGACCTGCTGCTGTCTTAGTAAATCCATTTTCCCTTTCGCCAAGGGGTTCCTGCAGTGGAGGTCTCTGCAGGTACAGTAAATACACTGACATGGAGAGTAGCAGGTTTTGATCCATGGAAGGCCATCAGAGAAATGAGAGCACACACAGCAATTTGGCACAGTCTGGGGTCTTCCTTTCCAGTCGGCCTAGCCTCGGAAGGGACTGCAGATTCAATTACCTCTCACACCGAGGGATCTCCCCCCGGAGCAGAACTGAAATGCATTAGTGGGATGCGGGGTGGAAGTTGATGCTGCTGTTACCAGGATTGTATTTGCCTTCTGCACAGGCGGAGAACTTTGCTGTGAAAGTCCCCCGAACCCTTGGCTACCAACAGAGCTCTGTCACTTTGTCGACATAGAGCAGCTCTCCGGTGGTCTTTCAAAATCAAACCGCGCTTGTTTGCTGTTAAGATGACTGAGGCAGGAGACTTGCAGATTATATTCAGAAAGATTCCAGGACAGTTAGGACTCCATGATAAGGACTCAACGGTGAACGTGGACAGTTGTCATTTCGGGAAAACCATCTCAATCAATCAGATGACTAGCTTGTCACTGGTGTAAGTTGTTTGAGCTTGCATAGTGCATCAAAAGTCATTAAATGTTTCTACTGTGCACTTACAAACCTTACTGACTACAGAGTCGGCATAGCAACCAGCGGCAGTACCCTTTTTATGTAGTGATGGGCTTTTGAAAAGCAGCAGTGTTTATTTTAGGAACTGACTGTAGGAACACACTGGCCTGGGGTGTCGTCTGTGCAAAATTGACATGTTTTCCTCAGTTGTTGTGGTTTTTCTCCCACCTGCCAAAGACATGCTGACTTGGTTAATCAGTGCCACTTAATTGTCGGTGTGTGTCTATGTCCAGTGACAGACTGACGTTCTGACCCCAGTGTAGTCCCTCCTTGCACTTTCTGTAATGACCTTTAGCAGGAATAAGTAAGAACAAGTAATAATAGATATGTGGATGATAATCTTTTGTCTTCCATGCACTGTTACTCAGGTGTAACCACACATGCGAATACATGTCTCCTTTATCCAGATGTTGATTGGCTCTAAACATGCTGAGACCTTTTCACATTGCCCCTTTTCTTCCAGCTGGGTAAGATTTTCATGAGAGGCGCTTGATTTATCGCCTGCTACAGTACACAGCCGGGTGTTTGACTAACCTGCTGCTGTGTTTTAAGCATCCAAAAGGGCTAACTAGCCTCCCTCGGGCGAATTCTCCTTCAGAAGGACGGGGCCATGTTTACTCCGTCAGCCCTCTGGCTGGCCCACAGCTAAAACAGCAGGTTTAAATAAAACAGCAGCTTGCGGGTTGGGCCATCAAGTTGAGTGGAGCCGCTATTAAATGACCCCACTGAAAATGTCCTCTGTCATGAAATACAGGAGTGTGCACGTGGTTAAACAGGTGCAGGATCCTTTTTTTTTTTTTCCTGTCTGAGAAGAAAAAAACTTGATTGCTACTGCATATCTGAAGCAGCCGCCGAAGGTTCTTCCCACTCCTGTTGCATTTGGAAATTGAGTCGGAAAGATGGCACACTTGTATTCTTTACATCACTTTATTAAATGGGCACAGGGGATGCAGAGGCTCAGAGCACTGTCTTAATATCGCTGTAATAGCTTTCTATCTCGAGCGGCTGGAGGGAGCAATCCCACTGTCTTTTTTTTTTCCTCCTCTTTTCTGCGGATTCATGAGAGCTCCAGGCGGGCTGCCTGACTCGGGAAGGAGGCGTGGAAAAACCCGAGCCATCCCCTTTCAAAAGGGGAGGTGGCAAATGGGACGTTGCCTCTGGACTGGAGGCCCTGACAGAGGATAGCCATCATCAATCAGTCCCATTAAGGAATACCTTTTCCGGGGATCCATTTCTGTCATTCAGGACGGACGAGGGCTGAAAGGCAGAACAGGATGTCAACGTGGCCCCCGCACCTAGTTTTCAGGAAGGAAATGGGCAAGGGACAAGATTTTTCAAGGCTGCGGGACTGCGGGACTGCGGTTCGGGTTAAAGCAACCCGGGGTGTCGATTTTTTTTGTTCCCCCAAGTGAACTCGGTGAACAAGTCTTTGAGGTAAAGTCTGCGAAAAAGAATCATTTTCCAACTGCAAAAACGAATGAGGATTTAAAACAAATTTCAAATCCAGAACCCAGGGATGTTATTATTGGCTTTTGGGGAATTCGGAATAGGTTCTTTCTTTTCTATGCAAAGCCAGAGGTACATATTATTATCTTATTTGCAGTCGTTCATCGACTGGAGCTGAACCTCATCTTCATTTACTGACTCCTGGTGGCTAGAATTCTGTAGCGTATTGTGTTTAATCTGCAGACTTTATATTTCATTTTTTCTCACATTAAATACTTGTTCAAAAACATTAAATGGTTGTTATTCAGCTTCATACTTCCCTGCATATACAGTAGCATCCTGGCATTGTGAGGACAAGAATAGAAACAGCTGGTGATTTGTGGGGGGTTGTCTTTATAGAGGTTTTCTGAATCAGTACCTGATCTCGAACGCATCAGAAAACATCACCAGTGTTAAATGTATTATCATAGTGCTCTTAAATGCTCATTAGATGTTTAAAGCATTTGGGAACTCGTTGTGATGCTTTTGTCTGGCACTCAATAGATGCCTGAAAAAAAAACAACACAAAACACGGCTGTTCAGTCAACTTTTACTTCATTAATATCAATTTACTTGCATTACTGCACCGGGATCTCTACTATAAACAACGCCAACAAAAGAAAAAAGAAGTGTCTGTTGAGTTCTGATTTCAAAGTGTTGCAGTGTTGAGTCGCAGACGCTCTCCGAGAGTAAATTCCTTCACTCAAGCACAGCTAACGTGTTTCACAGCTTCAAAATCGCTGCCGACGCCAGAGACAAGGAAGGTGACGGGAATAGATGCCGTTTGCACTCTCCTGTGCCCTCGTGTCGTTTGTAAGGCATCTGAGGAGGCAATGAAAAATCAGCGAGTTCCATCAGCTCTTTCCACTGTTTTCGTCTTTTCAACAGGGGCAGCAGCTGACGGACCTGGAGCGCAAATTAACAGCAGCAAAACAGGAGCTGGAAAAGGCCGCCCTTGACAAGGTAGGTCGACAGTTTGCTCAGGCCTTTTACTTGCCAGACTACCTGGCCTATTGAGAAGGACAAATTGTGGTGGTAAAACAACTCTGAGTTTATATTTCTGAAGCATTTCCCACAATAATTGGCCAAATTAATGACAAATGCTCTTCCTATTTCAACGTCAACTTGAGATACACATCGCCCATGTCAAAAACGACTTAAGTAGGCACAAACAATGACTCATGTACTGCATCAAGAAGGTTTGAAACGCCAAAGCAATGAAGTGTTGATGAAGAAACATGATCTTTTAAGTACTTTATTAGCGTGTGGCATTTGAATGCTGGCCAAAAATTACATCTGCGGTAGTCGTTTCTTAATTATGTATGATAACTATTTTTTTTACCTGCTCATTAAATGTTAATTGGTTTCTTTTAATTAGGCAAATGGGCGTTCAAATGACTAGCTAAACCGTCAAAATATTAAATGCACCCTAACCTTTGAGAAACATTAATTATATGCAATGGCTCATTAAAAAATAACTGTCCCAATAAATGGCCATAGAAGTAGTGTACTAATGAACCTGGAGTCGTTTCATCTTAGGATGTAATAGCATTTTGTCTGGTATAATTCTGAACTCTTATTTGAGAGCTCTACTCGGAGCTGGATGTGAAATATGTCTCCATAAAGCAAATTTCTCAAACCTCTAATTAGGCCTGATATGGAGCTAGTGCATTCCACTGAACTTTGACTGCTTTAAATCCATTCTGGCATTTTCTTCTCTCACTTGACTCCACTCTGTACCATTTAATTATGAGGCAGTCATCACTGACTAACATCAAACTTAATGCAGTAGCATATCAGGAAAAGTTATCATTACTAGAATCATTGCTGAGTTATAAGTACACAACAGTGCCTTCCAGCTTTCTCCCTCTCTCCAGTACACACCTGAAAAAGACTGCACAGCCTAAAGATTGTGTTTGACTTCTGCTTTTCAGTGTGGAATGAACCTCTGCCTTTTCCCACACAATACATTGTTGCCTAATACTACTAACTTGAACTAGAATGAACTACGCTACAGACCCATATCACTATTTAATTGCAACTGAAGTATTTGGCAAATTATAGTTGTAAATCACTATTTCATAACAACTGCAATACAGTAATTTATGGATTAATAGCACCACTTCATTACAACTGCAATATGATAACTCTACACAAATAAAATGCAGATCAATGATGATGCTTTTAGCTTGCTTAAACACTGTATGCTGATGAATTGGTTGGCTTTCTAGAGGGAAGTAATTGTTTAGTCTAAGCACTCCACTTTGACAAAGTATTAACTCTTATTTATTGGTGCCCGTCAAGCACTTTGGAAATAAAATACAAAAATATTTATTTTTAAAATAAAAGAATGAATGCTACACTCAGCCAGGCGTGAGACAGCTACATTTCAACATATAAATGGTCAGCTTGTAGAGATTGTTCCTTGCATTAAATATCTGGGTAAATACATTGCTAACAAACAAAAGTTCTCAGAGAACACTGAGTATGTTTCTAAAAAAGCTACGCAGAGATTATTTCTCTACCTTCTGGCAGAGAGTGGGCTGTCTTTGAACCAATCCACTTGGTGTGGGAATCGTGGCGTCTGGGGCAGAGCCAAAAGCATTACAAACATGAGCTGCAGAATTATTGGTCAGAAACAGACCCATCTCAGCCATATGTACTGTATACTAAAGAGTCTTTACAGGGAAGCAGTGTTAATATTAACTGATGCCTTGAATCCACTACACCCTGAATTGGATAAATTACCATGCAGATGATGTTTCAGAGTATGAAAGGTTCCAAAAAACTTTGTAAGAAGTCAATCATTCCAATCATTCCATATAGAAGATTCATCTTCTATACTCTGATGAGTAACGACCTTCACAGAATTACATTGATTTCATACAGTATATATGCAGGCAGCTCACACTTGAATCTTACGTTTGTACTCTACTGTACTGTATAGGATAGTTATTTTTATTCTCCATTGTATACATCTGTAAAATCCACTGAATGTATTATGTACTAGGTATATTTTTTTTATTGTTTGTCAGGCCAAAGGAAATGTTTCACTATACAGTATGTGGATAAAGTGCATTCTGATTCTAGGCCAATATCAATACCTTTTTACTAGTTTAATACAGTAATATATATTATAGTCCAATATTACTAATTACAAATAATATAAAATTTGATCTAGATCAGTATCATTGCTGAAGTCCCCTGTTATTGCTTTATACCCACACAATAAAAAATCCATTCAATATATATATATTTCTTAACAAAAAACAAGAAACACAAAATACTGACAGAAATTCAGTTTTTGTTTGTTCTACAAAGCAGAAATTTGAAGCTTTTAGCTTTTAATGTGTCGTGTCCCTGAGTTGTTAGTCACAATCGAGTTTGATGTAATATTATGCATGAAAAAAAGTCTGAAGAAGCTCTTCTAATTTGTGTCGGCTTGTCAGACCTGATCTTCAGGAGCCAGGCTTTAAATGGAAAAAAAAAGAGGCATAAACACATTTGCATTTGAATTATTTAGTTGCCCCTTTAAAATCAAGCAAAAATCCCTGTTTCTGTCTCCTAATCTACAGTACAGTATTTCACCAAACAGGGCTGGATGTAATGGGGAATTATTGGGAAACTATTAAACACAGGGTATTTCTTTTATTAATACAATTCTATGAAGAACAAGCATTTACTTCAGCCATTTTGGCCCCTTTCCTGGAGTGAATTGTCTGCCTTCAAATAGCTGACACTTTAAATGTGATTTGATGACAAATGGGGTTCTCATATGGAATTTAAATGATGCAGAACTAGTCGACTGCATTTCAATGCAGAGGCCTGTTGAGTCCATGGGACTGTGGAACTTTTTTAATGTGCCAAAATTTCAGCCAGGAATAGAAATGACGGATGCTCCTTTCTGAAGAGAAGAGGTTTTATTCTTAGACTGCAAAAAAAAAAAGTAGATGACAAATAAAAGAGTTGACAAGGGGAACGCTGATGAAGAAATGTCATTTTTGTTCAGTTTCCTTAGCAAGAGCGAAAACCAACTAAGAGAATGGAGATGAGCTGAAATGCATCCATCCTTAAGTAGCGTTTGATTTTTTCATTTGCTACAGGAGTCACAGCTGAAGGCTCTGAAGGAGACAGTACATCTCTGTCTGTCGTCGGTTCTGCACAATCAGCCTCCCACAGCGCCTCTAATCCCTTCAAAGCAATTGGAGATGGTGACTTCCCCCCTTGCAAACAGCTCCAGAGTTACGTTTCAGCAGCCACACACCAAGGTAGTCGCTGCTGGTTGATTCAAAACGCCAGGCTACTGTTCCTGCTTTCATTTCTTCCACAGGTCCGGAGCAGCAAAGCTGGGGAGGGTTTGAAATGCATTGGAAAATGGTCAATGGGATTTTAGATATGATTTGTAACCCTACAAGGACACATCAAGGGGGCAGTCTAGACCGGCTTTTCTCTTATTGCACCATATACTTTTGATTTGATTTCCTAAAGCTCAGAGGTGATATCTCCATATTTTCCTTTTTTTTAACTTATGTTGTAACCAAGAACGGCCATAAAAAGGGTTCGAAATAAGAGGAGGTCATTCGGCCGATCTAGCCCATTCGATAGCTAGTAGTTAACTTAATCCAGCTCTTTCTTGAAGGAATTCGGGGTAGTGACTTCACCAGCATGGCTGAGCATCTTCTTCCAGCCTCCCACACCCCTTGCAAAAAGGTGCCTCATATTCTTGCTTTTAAATGCGCTCGTATGCACTGTAGTTTCCAATGGGTCCTCTCTGTAAGTGGTACTCTCTTCACAACTCAAGAAGATTCGGTTCCTTTAACCTGTCAATGTTGAACTTTCTCTCTGAGTCCCAGAAAGCTTCCTGAGCAGCAGGCTTTTTTCTATAGCCTGGCAGCCAAAACTGTACACAGCATTCTAAAAAAGGAACCAGTAAAGGTTTATTCTGTGCTGAAAAGAGAAGACGGGAACAGTTCGACTGTGGAGCTTTCTTCAGGTGAGCTCACATCTGAAGAAGTTTCCAGAGCCAAAATAATTGTTTCTTTTCTTCTCTTTTCAGCAGAAATAAACCTTTACTTGTTCCTTTGCAGCCTACGCATGCTGACACAGCTCCCTACTTGGTGTTCTGAAACCTTACTGGTGTGTTTTACAATTTTTACACAACACCCTTTGATTTATATAGTTCACTTTTAACATTGTGTTTTAGCATAGTGTGTCTTTTAATTCATTGCATCTCCTCATTGTCTAGAAGCCAAATGGTGGGTCTCTAGCTATTTTATTGAGTTCTAGCTATACTTGTTCAAACGCCCCTCCCTTTAATTACAGTCGAGGGATTAACTTCTTACAGGCATGGAAAACCAAACTTCTGTCTAAAAAAATATCTTCCATCAACCCAGGGCCAAGGCAAACTGAATGGTGAGTTGGTTGTCCATTTAGTTTGCATTCTGCCTCTGATGCAATTCGGAAGCCCTGCTGTCGTCCTCAGACAGCAGAAGCCAACAGCGACTGGAAACCTTTGTTTCCAGAGTTTTACTTATCCCCACGATTGCATAACCAGTTGTCTCTTTCCAATTGGTCAGATGATGGAGGATGGCAAGTCATTACCCGTTGCCTTCTGGGAAATGTAGTTCACAGGTCAGAGTCTCCCTTTTACGACCTGTGTAAACCGCTTTTCAAATGAATTAAATGCAATTAGCCTTATCCAGCACCTTGGAAAGAGGTCAGTGCCAAGAAGTGCCCTTTTTTCTAGCTGGTAGCTTTCATCCATTATTATTTCAGTGAGTGTTTTGATTTTTTTTTGAAAGGGCAGAGGTGTAGAATTACTAATAAATGCTTACTGTATACCGTAGCATTCTTTACTCATGCATTTAAAACATTTTGAAAACTACATGTTTCTTACTCTTCCAAGACATTGTCTAATTGCTTTTTGTTGTTATTGTTTCTCTGCAATAATCAGCCAAGGCCTTTAAGCTTAATTCAAAGAGGAAAGTATATATAAAATATTTTTAAAAATAGCAGTGAGCCTCAGAGTGTGGGCTGTCATGTGGGGTGGTTGGTTATGTATTTATAGACAGACAATTTAATGTTGGCTTTTCTACCCACACAACCCTGATATATTTGATTAGGAAAAATTACCAAAACCTTCAAAAAATCTGTTTGGTATTCTTTGGCATATAGATATTCCTGATATGGTCTCGATATATGGGGACTGCAAAATCCAGACATTTTACATTTGTTTATCACAGAAATACCAGAATTACACTGAGCCGAAAATACCCAAAATTGTAAACTACCCAAGCACTCAGACATCAGAAAATGGAATTTAAGAGCTCCTTTTGAAGATGAATGCCAAAACAGACTCAATTTGTGAGATGGAGACATGAGTACTAGACATGTTTCTTATTCATTAGTCCATAGGTTTTCATTTTCTATTCCGCTCTTAAAAATACATCACCACAATAATGCACTCCATATTAAGTGAAACCCAGGTTTGAGCTTGTGTTCAGCCAACAATCCCCTACTTGAGAACAGAGTTTGACTTTCAATTCTACTGGCCTGTTTTCTTTTGAAATCCCATGTAGTATGATGGTTTTACAATATTGCACAACCATATACTGTATGTCTTTTCTTATACCTGATTAATGAAATAAACATATTCTCTAACAAAGCCCTTACTTTCACTTGTTCTCTACACAAAGATTACACTGATGAAACTCACAGAGCTGAGTTTGTAAGCACACCACAGCCTTGCCGCATGCCCTCCACACCTTACAGGCTTTGTAAAGGTCAGGCAAAGTTGTCAAAGGCCACCCTCGTTAGTAGAATTACCCCTTGATCATCCACAAGACAGGTGTTTAATTTGTACCATTTTTGTGTGAACAAAAATAGGAACATACTGTATTCACACATGAGTGACCTAGAACTATTACCACACTGGCCTCTTCGGAAAAAACGATTCTCTTATTCTCATAAAAACCCACTTACATTTCTCTGATTTCTAGTGCCCCTTGTAAAGAGGAAAAAAGATCTAAAAAAGAAGGCTCAGATGTTTCTTGCGTACAGTATATGGTGGAAACCTGTCTCACAGATCGGAGAGGGGATGTCAGTGTTGTTGATTAATTTGCATAGAAATAATCTTAAATCCCTTCAGTCCCTTCACTAATTTTGTTCTCCAAAGAACGGGACCGATATGAGGATTGTTACGGAGCTGCAGAATGACTCTGCAAGCACAGATACCCCTTACTGCTCAGCCTGGTCAGTCAGCAATGTTGTGGTGTTGTCGGTGGCCAATGGGCTTTGGAAACATGGTAGCTCAGTACTTATAATACACTAGTATTTCTAATGATATACAAAGAGCAGAATACTGTCCATGAAACAATTGTAATGTACAGTATATTGCCCCATAGACCCTTTGGCACAATATAACTATAACACAATATGGGAGTCCATCTCAGAAGTTAAAGAAGTTTTTATTTCATGTGCATGGAGGGCGAAACATGCAGAGAAGCTGCGGTGTGTTTTTCGCAAAGTGATTGAATCAAAATGGTCCTTAAACATTTTTCTGTTATCTGTCACGCTTCCCTGTGCCGATCAGATTGGCAGCGTTCCGGAATAACGCACATTTCCTCTTCCCTGTCTGCCAAAGATAACTTCTTTTAACACAATTGGTTACTTAGTTTCATAGCAGGCATTCATGTATAACACAGTATAGAATTACATACAGTAGTAGCCCTTGTGTCCAGCATTCTTCCATTCCAGGTCAAACCAGTTCTGAATGCCCACCTTATAAAATACTGCAGCTTCAGCAGGAGGGTGTACAAAGTTCAGAGAGACCCTCCCCCCCCCCAGATACCCTTATTCTACAGGTATTAAGCAGTGCTGGACCTTGCACCATGCACAATTCAGTAGTAAAACGCACAGAGTTCCCATCCAAGCAGGCCATCAAAGGCTGTCTAGGTGAACTGAGCTGATTAGCACTTAATGGTGAGAGGAAAAGTTCTGTAGATTCAAGGCTCGGGAGCCGTAAATCGATTCTGTCGGTGGAAGTGCTTGCACGAAACTTGAGGATCACCCAGAACGGGCCGTAGAGTAGGATTTGGCAGGGCTGAGCTGGCTGGCATTGCCTTTGAAATTGCCAGATGCTCTCTTTAGAAAGCTGAGATGCACAACAGCCAGACCTGCCAGGCTCTGCTACTGTATGTTAATGTGTGTTTTAGTAGGAATTCTTCAGTTGTTATATACAGTAGATTCCTAAAAGAGAAGGACTGCTCACAGATGCTGACAGATGAACCTTGTCTTTAGCTTATTGTGTCCAGTGCACAGAGAGGAGGGTTTCTTTGGAAGAAAGTCAGAAGGAGGGGGTACTGGGGTACTGGTACTGGTGGAGTGGTGCTGCCAGCATGGTTGAACCCTCACTGCACTGCGCCTCTGGTGGAAGTGTCTGGCTTTAACTTATAAAGTGCCTTTGGCAGAAAGTCAGAAGTGGAGACGTTGTGCTGTTCTGTTCCATTTCTGAAAATAAATCTGTCAATACAAGATCACAGAATAGGAAAAAAAAAAGAAAACATTGCTTTTTTTTCTATAAAAAATATTGGAGGGCTGTAATTATACGGCATTAAACAACTGCTTTTCACTTAGCTGTCACAGAGTTGTCACAGAATCTAGCTCAAAAGTGTGTCTTCGAACACCTCTGTGTGGTACAAGATAACAGTGGAGTGAAGTGAATCACAGTAACGGGATCCCAGAATAGAGGGCTGTGTTGTGACTTCATCTTCGCTCTTTTGAACATTTCCAAAGCGATGTGATGAAGTTTTTTTTATATCCTACATTCTTATGAAGTGAATACAGGGTATAATCATGAAAAAACGGGAAAATCCCATGTACATTGTCTATGCCAGCTCTCCTCAGGGCTGTGTCAAACCAAAAAGTTCAGGGTTCAGAAAAGTGAACACCGTCACTCCTCAAGGGCATAGAAGCTTAGTCAAACAAACCCCAATATTAATCCTTTGTTACAGAGACCTTGGTCTATACCAGTTCTGAAACTCTGTTGTACTTTGTACAAAATGAATCATCCTGCTGAGTAGATCTCATCTGCAATTCACTACCCCAGCTTTACTTGGATTTTTTTAATATAAAATTGCCTTTTTGTTCTTTTTGAATAACAGCAACTAAGCTATGCTTAAAATAAAAATGGAAAATGAGGTAGCACGGTCTTCAATCCCCATCTGTATTAGACATCGCCTGACATTTGGTTGAGTCATAAAATGCACCT